TGATCCCACCCACCGCTGCATATTCTACCAATAGTGGCCAGCCTGAGACGGAAATTATTGCTGAAAAAACCTTGCCACGGACTTGTTCTACGCCTACTGATACCAGCCCGTTGCTTTGCATTACACATGTCAGTGTACTATATCAGAAACGATAAACCTCATTTATCATTCAGACTGGAATGCTTAGTAGTTCATCAAGCTAGAATTAAAGAGCGCTCAACGCTTGCATGACCGCAGGTCAAAGCAGACTCGAAACATTCAGAAGGTATTATTCACCAAGGATAACCACACTTCTCAGAATCCTCGTCTTATTTCTGTCGAAGAATAAGGAGTAGAAAATCTCATGATAAAAAAAAGAATATGAATGCTAGGCATTATTCACCCTTTAAGTGCCCCATTCTTTAGCAGTCATACCAGGCTTTCTTATACAAAGGCAGATTTGGCTAAAATCTTGTCCTCAGGGGTGGTTCGATCTCATGATCCTTCCAGATACGAATTCCACGTCCTAGACACGAATTCCATGTTTAGTTGGCTTGAAACAAATGCATGCCTGCATTATACACCGCACACGCGTGCCTGCTTTGACTGCGGCACCAGGGTTAAGCACCATGTCGCGGAAACTAGGGAATCGAAAAGCCCTACCCCTTAAAAAGGCTTGTCCGTGCGACTCCCTCCCCCTTAGTGGCTGTGATAGTGTGGAGGTAACTGCTATTTTCATCAGTATGTAGCTGTACATTTTGTGAGAATGTCACCGAATGTAGTCTCCAGTGAATCCACTAATAAGTAGGCGGAGTCTTAGGGGGCGGAGTCAAGTGTACTATAAGTAAAAGTGTATTCAAGGGTCTATGTGTGTAATAGATGAAAAGTGTGAAAAACTAGTATAGATGCAGTATATAGTGTAAAATGTGTCTAATGTGAGTGTAAAATACGATGCGGCAAAAAGGAGGTGTCTTTGGGCGGGGCATGTAATGGGGTCCATTGTGTGCAATATACAGGGGGGGGCCAAAAAAGTCACTTCGACCGAGTCACATATCAGCAAAGTTTTCGCTGCCCAGACAGAGGACGTGGATACGAGTACCAGGGCGGAAGATACCCAAGATGTTAAGCAGGAGCTCGCCCATCACCTTCATGTACACCAAAATATGAAGTCATCTCCAGTCGCAACCTGACTGGAGAAGACCTTCGGAATTCATGTCACCTCCAAACAGCTGCGAAACTTCTAGTATGGAGTCACCATGGGATAGCTGCCTGAGACGGCAGTATTCTTCGATCTGGAACGCTCCATCTTCGAGGGGCAGCTCCGTCACAGTCGCTACGGTCTACAAACTCATCCTTTCACACGGCAGTCGCAAGATGCGGGTTGTGGTATGGACGCGGCAGGTGCCTGGATATGGAGAAGACCGAAATATTATTCCTCCGTGGACCCCGGATCTGAAGGTTTGGCGCTGGCGGTTACATAGCAGACTCGAGAAGGATATCCTCCCTACATGTGGTCGCCCGTACCTTCTTGGAGACCTTGTGCTGCTACAGGTTTGGGTGCCACCACATGGAATCGAAGGGTTTTGGAAAAACTCCTACTTCGAATGGAAGGGCGTTTCGTACCTGAAGAAGATGTAATATTCCGAGTCAGGTCACCCTTGACTGATCCCTCAATTACCCCGGTCCTGGCGGAGTTCATAGGTGGTCTAACGCGGTGGCGGAAGAAACTCGCTATCTCTCAGGCACCACGCGCGTCGCGTGCCAGAATCTCTCGATGGCGCTCGTCCAGAAGGCTGTGGCGGAGTGTCATGATAGTATTTGATATGCTCTTTAATATGGTGGTAAAAATGTCCGATCAGAATTTGATAAAGTGTAACTTATAGCGCCTCGAAGTCAATGAAGAAAAGTGACTTTTTTTTTTGCCCCCCCCCCCTTGCCCCGGCTGTATGTGGAGTGATATGCACTGGGCGCTTCGCAGAAAGTTGGGAAAGAAAAACTCTTCGCGAAAAATCTTCAAATAGAATCTGAGTATCTTGAAACATTTACGCCAACCCACATAATCGAATGCACTTAATCTGAGCAAGATTCTATTGCTCTAAGAAGGCAGTGTTAATGCACAGAGTTAAATTTGGGAAACCTTTAAAGTGACTTCGTTGAAAGCGAGATAAGGTAGAGCTAAAGCATTAATGCAAACGGCTGGCGTCGCGCATTGAGGTGGAGGCGTTACGGGCCACTGGCATTCACGTAAGTATTCTTCAAAAGGGTTCGCGAGAGTGGAAGGAAAGATTTGATAGGTTGTATGGGCAAGCAGTCTATAGAAATAACTTTTACGCGCCCCTCACAAGGTTTGCAGAGGTTGTCTAGCCAAAAAAATGACGCGGAGACATTTCTGCAAACCGCGAGTTCTTCACGCTTCGAAGGCCATAGGACTGCAAGATAAGAGGATAGGGTACCGGCTGAAAACTAGAAGGGTTTTTATTTCTGCCAAGGAGCACAACCAACTACTGTAGCTTAAGTATAGCTCAAACTTATACGTTGTGAATTTCGCTCTAGAAGTCAGCTTCACCCGCAGTATGAGGATGTTTCCCTATAAAAGCCACATTTTCATCTAGGCAGCTTGGCTGGCTTCCCGTGCCTCTACCATCGTGCATAGGGAGTGCAAAGCACAGAAGGGCTGATAAAACAGCTGAGATCCATCGGGATGCGCCATGTACTCTTTACTTCCTTCCCCAAAATTACCGCTCATCTTGCAAGCTACGCTCTGCTGTGTTCTGTACTGACCTCTGCAGGTACTACCCGCTCTTCCGATGGGGTTTGAATACGACCTCTCCCTCCGGTTCCGATGTATGCGTGACCCGTGCGGCATGC